CTCCCATTGGAGAAGATATGTACAAAGAGCAAACTAGAATGATTAAAAGTGTGTTTAAGCATTTTATTTTGTATGTTTTTTGGTGAAGAATTCAGTTGTGTTCAATACAGTTTGGGGGGAGGGGGAAAAAAATGCATCGTTTCAGTCACTGGGGCATCAAAAACCCATCAAATGTATGGTAATGATAAATAGAGAAATTTCTGAATGTTGTAGATAATACAAAGAGATAATATAAGTAGCCATATTACTGCTGGTGATTTAAAGATAAATGTTATCCAGTAAAATAATTGTTAAAATTTGCTCTAACTCACTCTAAATCAACATGCTTGTCTGATTGATAGAAGAAGCCATTTTTATCTTTTTTTTTTTTTTTAAGTCTGTGTACACAGAGATCAGTTAGATTCTTATGGGGCACATAGCTCTTCCAAACAAACATGAACGGGGAAGGGCACCCACATGCATGTATACAAGGAAGACGCCAGGAGTAATGTGAGGCATGTGTGTTGCAGACAGTGTGAACTCAGATCTGGAGAAGGAAAAGAGGTGTCTTGTGGTATTTAAAAAGTCATCCAAAGTTTCTCAAAGCGTATGGCTGGCCTTGAACTGCAGTCAAAGCATTTTTCAAATATCAGAAACATCTTCACAACTTGTTTCAAGTGTCTGAACAACAAGCCACACATGCTAAATGTTTAAAGTGCAACCAATGACTCACTGTTTTATTTTAGTTAAATGCCACAACATAATTTGATCAATGACAATAATATTTGGCAGAATAATCAAAAGGAGAGAAGGAAATGCATAGAATCATAGTAGAAAACAAAATGAATGACAGTGTGTTTATATCTAAAACTATTAATCTATTAATCTGTTACAAATATTAAACCAGAGGAAAGACACAAGACTTGACAAATTAGGGTGCAGATTCCAATGAAAACATCATTGCTATGATTTATATGTAACTCAATTACACATTAAAAGTGAAGAAGTGTTAAAAACCACAGTTTTGGTGGTGTTTTCTGGGTATCCTCCTGAATATAACAAGAGCACATTCTGTAAAGTAGTAGTGAAACTGATGAGCCTTGTAAGAAGCCTGCATTGACCATTCAGTCTTGTAGGATTGATTGATGAAACATTATTTTACTGCCTTGTATGCATGTGTTTGTGTGTGTGTGCCTTTACTGTTTGTATTAACTCAAGGACATAATGCATTTTAAGTCTCATGTTTTAGTGGCTATTTCCTGAAGGGCAAACATTGGCTTATTTACTGAATACAAATTCTTTACAAGCCGATTCTCTTTGTCTACATGAAGTCAATATTATGAACACGTCAAGGTCAGACTTGTGCTCCTCCCCATGTCATCAATCCAAGAGGGAGACACAAAACTTCCTTTAGAGCTATTTATTTCTTCCTCCACACCCACCTAATACATAAAGAGTCATGGCAAATGTATTGTCTTTTTCACTTTCTACTTATCTTTTAGGGCAAAACACCAATTTGACAGAATAATCTAGACTTTGGACAATAGTTGTGGCCTTGCATGCTTCCTGAGGTGGTAGTGTTATGAAATGAGAAAATACAACATATCTTTGAAAGAAATAAATTGTCTTTGCCAGTTAAATTTATGTTCTTAAGACCTTGAATAATCCAAGATAAATGCATAACAACTAATGAGTTTAGTCATTTTTAGATTTGCAACTTAGCCTGACAATTTTTTCAAATAAATAAAATAATTATTACAAAATCTGATTCTGTGTGAGCAACTGCAGAACAAAGACAGAGATCCGCTAAATAGACTTAACATTGCACTCAAGACTGGTTTCAAAATAAATATTTCAAGAATAATAAATATGGCCGTTTAATCAAGATTTTAGAAACAAAACAAACAATTCTGAGCTTGTAAAAGATTAAAGACTCCTACTTTAAACATAACCCCAAGTGGCCTGGACTATATAAATTACAGTTTAATGACACAATCCATGAATGTCTATTGGTAACAAAGACCCATGCACTCCTCATATTCCCAAAGCCACAAATTCCATCGTCTTGGCAACCTTCACCACATTTAAGCAACATAACATACATCACCAAAAAAGTAACCCATTTCTCTGCCCCCCAACACTCACTCTGAGAAACACTCAACTCTGACCACACTGTAAGCAAATGTAATGACCCACAAAATATAACACATCTTTCAGTGACAATTAAACAAATACAGGTAAAGTAACAGACAAAGCTTTGTTGTACAGGTGATAAAATATGTCAGTAAATGGTCCTGGTAAATGCTTACATTTTTAGATAGCGATTTTTCACCTTCAAGGCACTCAAAGCTCTTTACATCAAGGAATCACTCACCCATTCACACACACATTCATACACCAGTGCACGCAGACACCATCAGTACATAACAGTATATCATTAACTTTATAGAGCCGTTTTGCCTCCAATACCTATGTTTGGGGTACAATAAATCACATTGGGATTCTGGTTCCCACCATCACACCATATGTTAAAGATCCATCAATACACTCATCAATTTCAGTCTCGTCATCATTACAGAGCAGACGGATTTTCACTTGGAATTCTACGGACACTTCCATTTACACTCACCCGCCCACGTCTACAGTACATATAAACTGAGCTGAAAGCTTGAGGATTATTTCATTTAAAAAATCTATTAAAGCAAAGCACTTTTCTAGTTATTTTGTGATGACAATTCTGTGCATATTACATTAGTGAACTGGGGACAGAAGTGTTATAGTTGTACCTATGGCATCTCTAATCAGTAGTAGCAATAGTACAAATAACAAAATAACACTACTACAAGAATATAAAGTAAGCTGGAGTATATGTCCTTAATGTGGGAAATTAAATGTCATGCAGTACATAAGCCTGTCTTGATAATTATTATTTGGACTTATCATTCAATACATGATTAGTGGAACAATAATTTTGGGGTTCAGTATTTATTGTGTGTACTTTTTCTTCGGACTAATAGGGAACATTTTGTAATTTTTCTCTTTTACAATAAGATTTGAGGTATAGAGGGATGAATAAATAATGTCTATGACCCAATTTAGATACAAACTGACCATTACAGTGCTTCAAGCTGCTATTTATTGAAGTTTGTGTTTTTTAACTGTATCGTACATTTAAGATAATCCTGCTTTAGGGTTATTGTGTTAAATTATTGTTTATCATCCTACTACACCCTGAAGGAAATACTCCTCTGCTACTAAAATAGACTAAAATAGACTTTGAACAGACATGGATACTGTTTTTAAACATTTTGACAGGACTGGACTTGACTGATGTTTGCATACCTAGTGTTTTTAGTGTAGTTTTGTGTATGTGTGTGTGTGTGTTATTGTGTTTTTTTGTGTGTTATTGTGTGAGGCCTAATGCTGCACTTTAGAGTGAAATCACAGACAATTTTTATAGGTATATTAAAACACCATTATGTCTGAAAATATATAAACTATAAAGTAACATCATAATACAACATAAGGGTGTAATGAAGTACACTGCATTAAAAGTTACAAAGATATGGGCAGGGTAGTTGAACAACTTACAAAGATGTTGAAAAGGTGCTTTGTGCTGCTATTGTGTGATACATCTGCACTGCACCTGGTTGAACTAAAGCTTTTTCACACTGTTTGCTTTTAAGCACATCTGAGACTGAATGTGGTAGTATTAAATATTTTCTTTCTTCATCCCTTCAATAAAATATGCACTATCGCCACAGGGCTTCAGGTGAGTCTGCTATTGTGCTGTCAAACTAATACAGACCTGATGAAAGATGTTACTAACCAGACTTCAGCCACTATTCTCTGTACACTAAAGCTTATTCCCCCACACACTGTCAAAGGTGCCATACTATTGAGCAGCAAAATAGTACTATTGGAGTACAGGTGTGAAAGGTCAAAATGTTTCATTCATATATGGACAGTAAATGTGTCTACACAAAGCCCTAGTACACACATGGAAGAGATGCCCAGCTGTTCTTCATTCTCTCAGAGGGGTCTCTCCTGGTCAGCCGAGTAAACCACATGCTAATGTACCCCAAAGTTCACTGCATTTGTTCTATATGTATATAGTGGTTACATAGACATCTGCAGGAAATGAAAGCTATGAAGACAAAGCGACTGTTGTTATGCTACGTACACACTGAGCCCAAAAAAATTTAACATCCAAGGCCCTTTTCTTCTGCGAGTGACAATGATAAATGGCTCTGAAACACCACAAGTGCTCTTTAAGTAATGTAGGCAACAAGAGATGTTAGAAATAGTATATACATGTAGCAGAACAATACAGCATCAAGTACCAATGCACATGTAAAAGATCAGTGGTATTCTACTTAAATCATGTTAAACTTTAGAGTTATGTGAAGCTTCAGGCAAAACACTCCAATTGCGCACCATTAAATTGTAATAAAGTCAATCTATATTGTCTACATGCAGTAATAATGTTACATTATTTATGCAGCAGTATAGAAATAAAGTTTAATGAGACTTTAATTATTATTATTATTATTATATATATTTTTTTAATTAGGATCTAATTCCCCCCCACCCCCGGTGGAAAGCAAAGCTTTGTTTTCGAAAAGTAATTCTCTGTCTCCCTCTAGTGGCTATATTGTGTGCACTATCTTTACCGTGTGCCATGAAAATAGTTAAAACTCATGGGGAATCATTGGTTATGTGTATTCCAAATTTATCAGAGATAAAGGATAATTAGTTAAATGTACCAATAGCTTACTTATAGCAAATAATACAATAAACATTTAAAATACGGATACTGACCATATCTGAAGTTGTCAAAATAAATGTGCCAAAGCAATAAAACAATTTAACTGAACTACCAATATGAAATATATCATTTAATGAGATACTAATTAAACTTATACAAGTAATTTAACTGTGAACTCTAATATTGCAATACAGGCACATATGGTAATGTACAGAGTATATTTAACTTACTTAAATTTTTTTCTCTTATATGAACCAACATTTTAAGGCCATTCATCTTTCTGCTTTAAACCATGCAAAACATAGGCAGCATACAACCCCTTGGGACATAAAATATGTGCAAAATGTCCATGGTAAATATTTAAAATCTTAAAGTTCAGTTATCAGTGTGTTAGTGCTTTCTTTGAATGAACTGTCCTTAATGTCAGTAAGGGTCCATCTTGATCCTTTTGTACAGGCAGCAGGTCAGCACCATCCCACAAATCTGAAAACAGGAAGTAGTAAGTCAAAGAGAGCTACTGGGTCACCACCACATCCGCCTGACTGCACAGAGCAAAGCTAAGCAATGGAGATTCATAACTGGTGTAGTGCCTGTTTATGGCAAGCATCTATAAGCTTAAAAAGAACTTTAAAAGCTCAGCCAAGTGTGCAAAGGGTAGAGTATGAGCTGAAAACTGAATATTCTTAACAAATGACATGTAAACACACGTTTAATATGTAAAAAAAACAAAACAAAAAAACAAATATAATATAATATATGATTTATTGAGGCCTTTTATAAATAAAAGGTCAGTCTAAGAATAAGCTGCAGATATTGAACCAAGTCATTGGGCCTGCCATTGCTGATGGATAAACATGCAAGAGCCCAGATTCAATCTTTAGTCCATAAAAGCCCTCTGAAAACAGGTGATTGAGTGAGCCCGAGCTGAGTATTGACTTATCACTGTTTTCCTGAGGCAGCCTTCAGACCTCTTTGCTCCCTCCCACACCACCCAAGATGACATGTATTCCTTAGTGGGAGCTGTTTATGGCTATTCTGAGTAGCAATAAAAGTATTGTGTTACAAGATTATGAATAATTTTAAAACCAAAAATAGACTATTTTGGTCAAATACCAACAAGAAATATGTGTAGGTTTAGTCAAAAACACACACTATTTGGTCAACAGTCAACTGGTACTTTTATACCATTTATTTCTTAGATGGTATAAAAGTATAAAAACTACTACTACTATCAATCTGGACTATTAAGGATGCAATAGGTGAATTAATGAAGCCATTCCAAGCTTAGACACGTCTCAAAACATGCACTGACAACTGGTGCATGGAGCCAAAGCCGTCAGGTGCACACTAAACAATCAACACATACATGCAAATAATTTCAGTTCCATATACCCTCAGATCTTGTTAGTTGAGCTGATTAAACCCCACAGAAGCTTTAGAACTAATCACAATGTATTGAAGTCTTCCTCTTCTTCTTTATAGAGCAGATAGATAAAACAGGCTGTCAACATTGCCCCTGCCAACTACAGCAACAGCACACACACCCATGTAAGGACACACAAGGCAATGCACCATGAAGTTAGACTGAAATATGAGACAACACAACTACTAAACAATGACAAAACAAGTCTATTGTTAATACACATAGAATCACATTCAAGAAAAGAATTGTGTATATGTACTGTATATGACCCAAACTGGCAATTGGTAAGCTCCACACAGGTAGTTTCAATTGACGATACATAACTTTTCCCCCTTTAATTCATTATATATATATATATATATATATATATATATATATATATATATATATATATATATATATATATATATATATATATATATATATATATATATATATATATATATATATATATATATATATATATACACACACACACATATATATATATATATATTTTTTTTTTATCATAGAGAGCGATATAGATAATAAAAATATTTTTTAAATTTTAATATTACTAATGAGACTATTTGAAACGTTAAAATGACTGACAATATGTTCAATATTCTACTATTGCATTTATTTAAAAAAAAATAACAATTATGATACACATTTTATATATTTACCACTTCTAACTCATGACCTACCTGCAGACAAGCCACTCCAATCCCCACAGCTCCAATGACCAACAAATGATCTGCAAGAAACTTCTCCAGCTTTGTTATACACCCTCCCTGCAATGGGATCAAAGTTTAGGAATAATGACACCAATGAGTCAGTTACTAGACTTATTACTTCAGTCATATAGTAATAGTAATAATAGGGATGTCTACTATGCACCTCCACTTTGTAGATGTTGGACGGGTGATCTCTTTTTCCACAGAAAGGAGTCATAGTCTTACAGCAGCTATCAGGCACCACTCTGCCTTCTGACTCTTTCGACAGTATGTAGGCACTTACGGTCCAGTCACGAGAGTTGTTACTTCCACAACATTTGAACTGCAATATTTTAAAATAAAGTTGCAAAACAGTGGGCAGTTACAGTAAAGCATGCACATTTAACTAAATTATGTGAAAATATGTGTCATAATTGGCCCTTACATCCTGTTGCAATCTATCCACAGCTAATGTGATGGCATCCTTTTCTGGTTGAGCATAGTTTTCAGTCATAGTATGACTAAGATGCTGTTTTAACTCTTCACTTAACTAAAATTTAAAAGTGAAAATTTTACAGTGTTAAAATAAATATTTTGACAAACACAAAATACACAATTTGCCAGGAAATTTACCCTTTGGTAGTAGACATAAGCCAATACGCCAGCCACAAGTTCAATTAGGAATATCAGCAGAAGTAGGAAGAAATACTGTTAAAAGAATAAAAATAAAAGATGCAAAATTACAGCACTGTTTTTATAATTAGGTTATTTTTTAATGAATTGTTTTTAATTCATGTTTATACAATGTTTAAATGGATGTCACAGCAGGCAGATTTGCTATGTGCAACCATCCTCATGTATCAAAGAAGAGAAAAAACTGCCTACACAGAATTCTAAGTTTACTGCTTCTGCATGTTAAACCCACAGTTGACATCTCATTATTTCTCTGTTCAGTGAACTATAAAAACAACACAGTAATGTTTGATATTCAAACAAAAACTGTGTTGAGCCACCTTCTCACTACAGCAGCACCTATGCTTTCTATGACTATATCCATCAACAGGGGGCGGATAGAGCTAGAAATAGACCAGCAGCAGCACAGGCTGCCTCTCTCCCACAGGCCTCTGTCTCAGTAAAATAATGAGGACAGTGAGGGACCTGTCAGGGCCATTTATCAGGATCCAGCAATGAACCATAGAGTAGAAAAATATTGATGAGATCCATGTTTTGTTGTTGAGAGAAAGAGAGAAAATGAAAGAGAGCGAGAGAAAGAGAGAGGGAGAGAGAGCAAGAGAGAGGGAGAGAAACAAAGAGAGACAAGAGAGTGAAACCTTTGGAAAACATCTGCCTTTTAGTTCAACAGGATCAATAGCTTACAATTTCTGCTGCAGTGGTGTTCATGGCTTTTGCTAGTGCAACAACATTGTGTCTCTTCAAACATCAGAGTCAGGGTCAAACATTTATTGCAAAAGCACACTTAACAGTCTGTCTCACATGGATTTGTACTAATAAATAATTTATTCACACATAAATTAAGAGCTATTTAATTAGAAAACCTCAGCTTTTTTCTTACTGTAGAGAGGCAGCTCTTCTGTTCGCGGATCACAGCACAACAGCCCAAGAACCCAGTGAGCACCACCAAACTGCCTGCCAGGATCAGGATATAAGCTGACACTGCAAACGTACTGGATGCCAGCAGACTCAAGTAGTCACTCTTCTCGATCAGAGTCCAAACTCCCACACCCAGAACTGCAGCTCCCCCCAACTGAAAGATACATTTAGTTACACAGTTTTAATACAGCCAGGGTATAACAGTGCTATTACACCAATATGAAGCCCATTCATTCAGGGGGCAGACAAAGGAAGAGGAAAAGCAGTAAAAGCAGTAAAAGCAGAGGTCAAGTCAGGGCACTTTGTTCAAACAAAACTGGACAACATCCCTGGGTGTTGTCCAAATCTTTTCCTTTATCACTTTCACAGATGGGTAGATTAAAAAAAATGCCTTAAAGTTCATCCTTCATGCTTAAAAATAAGAACAAGAAGGGATGTGTTTGTATATCTGGAAAATCAGATAAAAAAAACTTTTGTATTGAGTCAAATTCATAACATGAAAAAGTGTGGCTGTTATGGATACATTTTTGTAAGAATCAAAAACTGCTGCATCATGAAGAGCAGAAAATTGGAAAGATACACTTTTTTTTCCACACGAACAAGCCTTAAATAATCCATGACTCACAGTGTGCCAACTCTTAACAGCTCAGGCTTTTCATAAATTTGCTCTACCTTTTAGTGATTCTCAATAACCCTTGCTATTTTGTGTCTTTAGGAGAAAAAAATAAAGCAATACTGCAAAGCAAGACACTAGAATATTCTGTATTCATTACTTACCCAGAAAAGAAAGTTGAAGACAAAAAGCAAGTACTTGAGACACACAGTGAGCCAGTCCTCCTGATCATCTTTGTAAACCGCAGACATGTTGATTTATTCAATATAGCTCTGAAATAGCAAATGTGCCGAGGCACGTTATTATTATCTTTCACAACCTTAACATAGACATTTGAAGGCTACAGAGGGATCCTGTGTCATTTAGTTGAGCAGTTGCATGAACTAAAATCTATACTGATGAAAATGCAATCTGCCATAAAGCAAAATCCACATATGCATATTATAGCATATCAGCACCGTATCAGCAAGTCTATTAGTTAGTGGAGTGTAACAGACTACAGGAGTAGCAGTGTTGTATAGGGGCTAAATTATCGCTAAAATGTAGCCTACTCCGTCCATCGCATCAGGTTACTTGCTTGATTAAGCTACATGCTTCGATGGAAAAGAAATATGCCATCTATAGCCTACAAAACTCAAGTTGTTTTGAGCAGGTGTTGATAGGCTACTGAACGAACTATCCAGATGAAACATACCCACATCTGCACGGCAGCTGTCTCTAAAGTTTCCGCAGCTGTACCTTGTTCACAATTTCTGACTTTTCAAATAGAAGAAAAAAGTGTTACTGGTTATATTCATCAAATAGACAACATACCAAAGTCGATGTGTCCGGTCAAGCTATCCCGATTAGCTGTGGTCCAGCTGCAGGTTGGTGCGCACGATGCTTTCAGGAAAACTCGGAAATCTGAAACTCTTAACTTATAACAGAATTAACTGCTTGCTTTGATGTTTGATTTCTATCATAAACCAGGCCTATTTAAAAAAAAATGTGACAATATTTCATATTTTGTTTCTCAATTTTTGCCTTAACTTAAACATTAAATGTAAACTTTTGCGTCCGTGCCTTGCAAGAGGTCATGCGGTTGCAATCAGTGCAGTGAATACCACAGCGCCACACTTATCGCAGTCTTGGTTACTATGTAACCACATACCGCCCACAAAATCACCAGAAGACATTACTTTGACAGTGCACTTCAGTACGTTGCAGAATTAGAATTGAATACACCAAACTCAGCTTGTTTGCTGACTTTGAAGTTTTGAAGTATATGGCCCTATAGAAGCCTATGGCAAAACATTAGTCTCGTGGGCATTGACTGGGCTTCATGATTGCAACATTTTCTCGTGTTATGTAGCCTCTATTTCTTTACATTTATTCCAAAGCCCAAAGCAAAAGCCCTTATTGAAAAACATTGCTTCTCAAAGCACAGTGACATTTGCAGAAAGCGGAAGTGAAGATAGCAGCAATAATTGTTAACTTACCAGGAAGTTACTGAGCTCCGCGGCAGATGGGCGTGTCCTTAAATGCGAGTGGTGTTGAGAAAAGCCAGTTACATGCAGTTTACTTGACCCGAGTCTGAGATTTTGGTACTTTAACTTAAGGGGCGTGTATGAAATCGATGATAACACGACCAATCTCACTTTTATTTGATGATGTTTTAATGTGGGTTTTCTTTTCATGCAACTCATTTCATAAAATATTTGTTCTGAGCTAAATAGGCCTATAATCCCGCACACTGTATTAAAACAGGACTAAAGTTACAAACTGGCCAATAACAGAACTGAAATGATGTCTAGCTATGCAGCATTATGCCATCAATGCTCTCTCCTTTGTACCCCACCCCTCCTATTTGTGTCCCATTACTTCATTAATACTCACGAATGAAAAAAGTTATGTAAAAGGTGAAGAACAATGCCTAGTGTGTGTGTGTGTGTGGGGGGGTATCTTTATAACTCAGGCATGGGCACCAGAAGGACACGATGCGATACTGTACAGGCACATTTGCCTGGCCTGCATCAAAACTCCCTACAGCAACAGGTGTCCCGTGTTCAACAATAGCTTTTCTGTGAGACTCCAGGGCAAAGCGTACAGTATACTCACATTAATGAACTCACCCAGAGACCAGTCCACATCATGAACAAAAAAACACCACAAAGAGACAAAAGTTTTAGCCTGCTGTAAGATACTAGCATCTGTTTTACCACAGTTTTCCTCACCGTGAACATTATCAGATTAGAGTGTTGGGAAAAACAAACAGTTATGGTGTATATATAAATGGCATGAAGTTATTGGTGACATTCCACAGATTTAATTAATAATTGCATTTATATTGTGACTTTCAAGACACCCAAAGCGCTTTACAGTCCATTGTTCATTCACTCCACACTCAATACTGGTAAGGAACTACTGTAGCCACAGCTGCTCTGGATCAGTCTGACAGAAGCGAGGGTGCCAATCTGAGCCATCAGCCCCTCCGACCACCACCATCACTCACACACACACTCCACTTTTTTAATAGGCAATGTGGGTGAAGTGTCTTACCTAAGGACACAATAACAGTTTTTGCCACTGGCGCCCCACTGAGGCACCTGGAATTCCCAGTGGACTCCCATCCATGTACTGCCCAGGCCCAGGATTGCTTAGCTTCTGAGATCTGATGAGATCAGGCTTTGACAAGCTGGTACGGATTTCGCTGAGGTACTATTCCAAGATACTTCACCTTAGAAAGAAAAGGGCAGAGGTACGCAAGTGTGCAATATGTTTTCAGCAAGGTGATACACCAAATCATACTGACTGAAGACACTGGAAATAAACCTTGCATTAACAGAGAGTCTTTAACATCTGTTCTTGAGGATAGTACAATATAATTGAATAGGGGTAGATTCAAAGTCACCACCAATTGAATATTTTTTCTTACTTGACCATGCTTCCTTTCCTTTTAAATGAAAAGAGAGGAAAATGTATAAAATTGGGATCTCCATGGGAGATTTATGACAATGTGAAATTGAAGTCCAGAATAGAAAACTGTAAAGACAGTATTGTTACTAAGCTTAGCTGTGGAGTTTCCATGGAGATAAAAGAGCAAGAGGTATTCTTATATTAAGGGTTGTTTTTTAACCCCATAAACCTTGTAAATAACACATTGTCAGTAAATAACAGTTTGGAAAACATAAATATATATATTTGATTATATATTTGTCCAACCATTTTATCGGTTTTACCGGTTCAGTCAATAATAATCATTGCATAATAATGATGATCTATTTGCTGCTATTACACCCACACTGCTTTTGTGTAGTCCATGTGTGAGGTGTGTGAGTGGATGCATGTATACAGAGGGGTGCTGCGTGGGCCCATGCTCTTAAGCAAGTCTCAAACTCATCTATAATAAGAGCAACTGAAACCTGCTGATTTTTATTTGGTTCTAGATAAAATATTTTGGTACTTAAGATTTAGAGTGTAGTCCAAGTTATGTTCATGTTGTGAACTATTTTCATCTTTATACAACAGGAGAACTTTTGTTTATCCCCCATTGAAAAAAATCCATCATTGCAATGCCAAGTACAAAAACAGTGGGACAGAATATGCAGATAAATTTATACTTAAATATACTTACATCTAACTATTTCATTTGAATCACAGAATACACAAACATGCATAAAATAAAGTAGCGTAGAGTAAAACTACAGGCTACAACTATAATGTGACCATGAAAAGTTCTGGTCGTAAACAAAAGCTATATCACACTTCTCCCTAGAACAGAAGCGTGAAAACTGATTTTTGTTAACTAACTCTTTTCCACATCTATGCGTAACGTAAAAGTGCATAATTTGGATACAGACGCCTTCTACAGTATACCTATAAACAGTTGAATTGTTTCTTAACGTTGCGTATTCTTCTGTAAGAGTCTAATTTGTTGCACATGGTTTGTAGCGCACAGCTGGACGCCTTATTTGGCCGTGGGCGCGTATTGGACAGAATAATGTTATGTGTGAGATGAGCAGCAGGTAGGCGCGCAGTGTGGTCTCTGAGCGGACACCTACATTCACAGTGTGCGCTCGGTTGTTAATGGATGTAGGTTCCTTCTAGGATCACAACAGAAAGCCTCTCCGTATTGGCGCTCAAAGACTACTTTGAAGATCTACTGGGATAAATGACATCACTTTTGCAATTATGAACGATTGGATTTTTTTCTGACAACTTTTTGTCGCATTTTATTGTACACTAACTTATAATTTATCAAGATTGACATATCTGTCTATGGAGACAGAACTGTACTGTGACCTGTGCGTGTTTTTATATACTATATTTGGGAGCGAAACAAACACTTGAAAGAGTTTATTTCGAAATCTCGCCGGCTCTCATGGGACTCCGGCATTCGTCACGTTGTTTGCTGCTACGGCGGAAGATGGCGGAGGCGGACAGCTCAGAGGTAGGAACCTTGTGGTGTCCTGTCCGTTACTGGTCCTGAAAACCGCAGTTTAAAAAAATAAAGCCAAGGATAAAACGATCATCTAGATTTAAACATAATGTGCACATGGGGGTTTTGCTTGGTTTCTTGTCGTTTGTATTGAGCAGTAGTGATTCTGTGCAGGCTATAGAAAGTACCACTCGTCGTCCTGCACGTTGCATAGGGGGCATATGCTAATAAAGCTTATTAAACCAGGGATGCTCGTGTATGTGACACTGAGCTGAGGTGAGATGATCTTCGGTGCGTGCATTTACGATATCTTCGCTGTCCTTGGTGCTGAAAACGCAACGTGGGTCATCTGTATTCTCTCTATCCCTAAGCCTTGCTGTTAAAGCCTAGTTTGGCTACGTGAATGATATGTCAGAGGTGTTTATTATGATAAGTGTATAAACCACTGGGCTCTAGATGTCTGTTTCTTTATATATAACTCTGCACTCATGCAGAATTGTGCACTTTCCTACATTGTATGGTTGATAATCAGTAATTTTAACCACCATATAAATTGTCAATGGGTTTTATTGGATAAACTATATAATACAGGTATTAATCATATTTAAAATATTTACTTTTTTAGCGCCAACAGCCTGTCTCACAGCTCTCCCAGTCTGCCCAGCCCTCTTCTCTTCCTAAACCAGTGCCTAGTGCCCACCACATACCATGTGTGCCCCATACTCCTCATCTGGCAGCTCTGACCACTTGTGCCGGCAGAGGCAAAGTCACCAAGTTCATCAGTCCAGAGGATATGACATCACGGGACTACTACTTTGACTCCTATGCCCACTTTGGCATCCATGAGGTACAATTTCCATCATACCACAGAATGACATTATGCACAGTATGTCAGCATGTGCCTAACCTTGTTTTTTATTTCAACAAAATAGCCAGTGAAATCATTTCAGATATACTTAATATGCTGTGTACTCACTGTAAACTGTAAATTCTTTACAAATTTAATAACCACACAAATAGAAACATTGTAGCTTTAGGTATAATTGATGCATAACTGTTGTGATGATACAATAACCTTGATCTACTAAATGGTTGGTGCCAGATTTTTTTTAAACTAGTGTCCATAATTAGTATTTGGGTCAGGTTTTGTCTACTTGAGGTGTCCTCATTAAAAGATTGGAAGGAAACAAGGAGGGAGTGATCCGTGAAATGTCTCAAAGGATGACAATTAGACAAATGCCTATAGAAAATTATAACATAACATTACAGTATTATCATATTTTCCCTGTACACAGGAAATGCTGAAGGATGAAGTGCGGACACTCACATACAGGAATGCCATGTACCACAACAAGCATGTGTTTAAGGATAAGATTGTCCTGGATGTGGGCAGTGGCACTGGGATCTTGTCTATGTTTGCAGCTAATGCTGGTGCTAAACATGTCTATGGGGTAAGATATACTGGTACATAAACATAAATCAATGAACAAACTCCCTCACATGCACATAAATCCTTTTAGATTCCTCCATTCTGTGTTACAAAGGTTAATATTGCCCACATACAGGGGACATCTGGGTCCCCTTGGAAAAGGGCGACATG